CTCTCTCTCTCTCTCTCACGCGCTCTCTCTCAAAAAAAAAAAAAAGAAAAAAAGTTTACGAAGCTAGTCTATGTTCGTTATAGAAAATTTCAAAACTAAGGGGGAAAAGGCCCTTCACATTTGTATCATATGCTCTCAAAATACTCTTGACACTTATCAGAACACCAGTTCAATTCAATTCATTTTGTCACAGAATGTGAACAACTTGAGAATGGGAATATGGTTTTCTTTCTCATCCTTGTGTCTTTGGTGGACACAGAAGACTCTCAATAAATATGCATATGTTGAACAGGAGCACCTGGGTAGCTTAGTTAAGCGTCCGACTCTTCATTTCATCTCAGGTCATGATCCCAGAGTTATGGGATCAAGCCCCCACTTGGGGCTCTCTCTCCATCTCTCTTTGCCCCTCTTTCTCCCCTGCACACACACTCTCTCTCTCAAAAATAAACATTAAAAAATATGTATTGAACAAAAATGTACATCATTTATATTGCCCCCTCTCATAACCATATTAAGAATCTGGGATCTATCCAGTCTTTGCGAAAGAAAGAAAGAAAGAAAGAAAGAAAGAAAGAAAGAAAGAAAGAAAGAAAGAGAAAGAAAGAAAAAAGAATGGCATCATGCCATTTAGAAAAGGCATCATTTAGAAAATGACCAGAATATATTTTGAAACCTGCTTTTTTCACTGAAAATGTACCACAGATATATTTCTAGCTGCTTTGGTTTTATATAAAGCATAATAACTTTGTCTTCAGTTTTAAATATTAAAAAACAACGTAAAGGGGGCACCTGGGTGACTCAGTCTCTTAAGCCTCCGACTTCAGCTTGGGTCATGATCTCAAGGTTCGGGAGTTCCAGACCTGCGTCAGGCTCTCTGCTGACAGCTCGGAGCCTGGAGCCTGAAGCCTGCTTCGGATTCTGTCTCCCTCTCTTTGCCCCTCCCCTGCTTGACTCACTCTCTCTCTCTCAAAAATAAATAAATATTAAAACACACAAAAACTTTTTTTAAAAAAAAGAACATTATGATAAACATCCTTGTATCTAAAATCTTTACATGTATCATGATTCAGATAGGCTAAATGTCTTGAAGTGGGACTGCAGTGTCAAAGAATGGGCAAAGCCTACGCATACCTCTTGAAGTCCTGTTTTGCAATGGCTTAACAATTCATATGGGTAAATAGTAAGAAACAGGACTTAAAAAAATATCAGGGGGCGCCTGGGTGGCTCAGTTGGTTAAGCGTCTTGACTTTGGCTCAGGTCATGATCTCGCGGTTTGTGAGTTTGAGCCCCGCATCGGGCTCTGTGCTGACAGCTCAGAGCCTGGAGCCTGCTTTGGATTCTGTGTCTCCCCTTCTCTCTGCCCCTC